TATAAAAATAAGGTTATCTATTTTTTAATATATAAAAGAAGAAATTAATGTCCTTTTTTACTAAACATAAACTTTAATAACTGCATAGAAGATTTAGCTATTCTTATATAAAACAACTTTACATAATGCTTAAGAACACTAGACATAACATTAATCCCTCTATACTTAAAAAGATTAAGAAGTTCTGCTACATGTGTTAGCTACACAACCTAGCACTATAAAGATTTAAGTTTATAATTAAAAACAACTTACACTTTAACTATAAAATAGTAATTAATGTTGTATAAATTAGTAACTAAGATGTACTACATGTAATTAACATAGATACATTATTCTAAGTAGTAACCTTCTTAAAAATTAATGTCTGCATAAGATACCTAGAACGCGCTCTGCAAGTGTTAGATTAACACATACTAAGGCCTACCTAATTACATTATATATAACTCTAGTATAAACTTTGCATTTAAAGACTTCTAGAATCACGCAAAGATTGTAGGAGCAATGTGCTAATAGATGCTAGTAGAGGCCTATTAGGCTCTAGGGAAGATTAAGCGCGCGCACGCACCACTGCAACGTGCGTACAATATCCTCTATACAGAATTAAATAATTGTACAAACAATAAGTTAGTATTATAAATAGCTGTTAAAGCCCTAAATAATACAGTAAGACTAAACAGTCTTATACCTACATTACTTATGTTTAGAATGTACTTAAAAATTAACATAGATTCTGTACTATCCTCTAATATTATTACACAAGCTAACGCTGTATAAAAGGCAATAAAAATGCTTTAAAGTAAGAAAGTAAAAGTTAATATTAATTATATAATTAATACCTAAAACAGCTTAACCTTATATAAAGTACTAAATCTCCTACTTAGTTCTAAAGTAAAGATGTAGTAAAAGAAGAAAGGATAGATAGAACTACATATAGTAAAGGGAATTAAGGCCCTAGACATTATTATTAAGATAAAGAACAGTCTAGTAAGACTTTACTGCACACAAGTTATGCTATATTATTGTACAAAGGATAAAGATAAACCTGCATAAGAATTGCTAAATCTAGACAAACTAGCTCTAGTACAAAGAGATCCTTTATAGGCATAAAAGAGAGGTTGCCTACACAAGCAACTAACTTTAGTTAATAGACTACACAAAATAGCCTCTTAAGTAGCATTAGATTTGTTATACAAACTAAAACTAGAACTATAGCTAGCTAAGAAAGGCTAAAAGAAACTATGTAAGAATCTACAGGCTACAACATTTCTAACTTAAAAGGAAAAGGAAGACTACGCGCTAGCAATTAAGCTCTATGTAGATAGTGTAATTACAACACCTAAAAGACTATTTAAAGAATTAGACTATACAGAAATAAAGAGTCTAATTATAAGTAGCATGTTTAAGGTACTTTTATATAATTTATTAATTTATAAAGGACAGATCTTTAACCTTTAACTTATATATAAAGTTAAAGGGAAATTAATAAAACTGTATAAAAAGTTACAACTTATGTTTATAGAACATTTAAATAAGAAGAAAAAAAAGATTCTTACATAGTCTTCTATAATTTAGAAAATAAGTTAGAGGTTAATTCTAGCTATTAGCCTATTACTAATAGCTTTATATAACATGCACTATAAACTACACAATATTACTTAGGCATATGTATAATTAATAGACAAGCTTGTTTGCACTCTTTTTGCATAACTACTAAGAAAACTCTGTAAAAGCTTCCCTCTACACAAAATATTTAGAGTTATATAACTACTATACAGCGCAGCAGAGTTAGGCTTATATTAGTTTAAGATATACTATAACTATTATAAGAATAGACTTTTTATAAAAACTTTATTATACAATCTATGCTTATTAATTACATATAAAGGCTTAACAGTGTTTAGTATTATAGGACTATAAATAGATAATACTCTTAGTATTATTACAGCTAATTTTATATAAAGAGAGGAAAAAAAATTACTTAAGGCTAACTTTTAAGTAAAGCCTAAGACTATACTATTACATAATTAGGCTATTAAATTTAATAAAGGAAAGATCTACTTTATATAAAATAATATTATTCTTATATAGAAAAGTTAAGCTAGGAATCTACACATAATAGAGTCTAAGGTAGAGGATGCTGCGCAGAAGTACGTTAAACAGCGCGCGCGAGGTGCCTATATTGCATTAATATGTTAACCTAAGGCAGCATTTAACCTGTCTACTGCTGCTTAAGTTATGTTACTGTTGTATAACAATATTAAGGCATTAAATGTACAAATCTAATAGCAAATTAATAACTAGAATAAAGGATTATTATATGTACTACTTAATCTCTTCTATATAAAGTTGTTTATCTTTACTAATAGATTATTTATAAATAATAAGGACTTAAGTTTATAGCTTAGCTTTTTTATTATTTTTAGAACTAAGCAGTAAACTAGGAACTTATATAACTTTTAAATTATAAGTAATATTATACACTAGAACTTCTCTAAGTGTAAACACGTTACCTGCTCTATCCTAGCTAGTAAGCTGTATAGAATAGTAGGAGGATTTAACTATGTAATTACACTAAGTACAACTATTAACTAGATTACATGTATGCTTAGAATACCTCTTGTACCTATTATACTATGCACAGATTTAAGATTTTTGTATAAATGTCTTATAAAGCTTAGAATAATAAATAAAAAAAAACTTATAATTAATATTATATTAATTTAAGAATTATATAAGAAAAAGAAGATTATAAAGATTAAGTAAATTAATAGAAAAGACAACCCTACAGATGCCTGTATAAAGAAGGCGCTAAACTCTACTCTTAAAGAACTAATTTTGTATAACTAACTAACTATTAGAGTTAAAGCGTTAGTTAATAGACTTAAGCCTATATAAAATAGGTAAAAAGGGCCCTACAGTAACCTGTCTACTGTATATGTAAATAAGGCAAGTCCTGTATAAAGGAAAAAAAAAAAGTTGCTAATGTCTAAATAGTAATATTTAGGCGCCTAGTTAATAGTTACGTAGCTTAGATGCGCCTAGATCCCTGTGCATAGAGATCTGTGCGCAGAGTTTAGGACTATATTAACCCCTTTCCTTTGTATAATAGAAAACAACAAGAAGCAATTAACACTAGTTACCTAACACCCCTGTGCGATGTTTACACCGTGCAAACCTCTCCGTCTCGTACGCATTTGCTGACACCAAGTGCTAGCTAGCAGAGAGTCCATTCAACAAAAAGCATATAAATAGTTTACTAAATTTTATAGTTAAAGTGTTTAAAAAAGTTTTAAAAAAGTAGTAATAATTACACATAAGCTAGTATTAGTGTAATAAAAAATCACTAAGCTTTAAGTAGCTAATAAAGCTACTATGTAATATAAATTATATAAAAAAAAGTAAATTAAAGTAAAAAAAACTTAATAATTTAAAAAAGCTTATACTTACTAGCTTTAAAGAAGTTTAGAGCACACAGTAATAAAAAGAAGGCAAAGAAGTAGGTATAAGCTAAAGTAGGTAAGCTATTCTAAAGGCGCTATAAATAGTGTAATTAGACTAGGCATAACACGCAAATGTGTAAGTAAGAAGTAAAAGTAGTATATAAATAATATTCTAGGCTATACTGTACTATATAGTGCCAGAGCAGGTTATTATAGGCTATAATAGAGTTTGTTAGGGTAGGGTCTTAGCAAAAGTAAGCGACTTAGGTGTGTAAGCAACTTGCCTGTGAAGTACGTTAGCATTTATAGCTAATATAGCTAATTTTTTGCACACTAAGCATAATCTAGGCTATATTAGTATAAACTAGCCTAGTATATTTATAAAGCATTATTTAAAGCTTAAAGTAAAGTTTTAACTGTAAGTATAGTTAATAAATATTTAGCTTATAATAAAGCTTATTTTACTAAAGTTATACATGTTATTATTTTAGATACTATACTTAGCTTTAATATTCTTTATAAGGCTAAACCTACTTTAAATTACTTTAAAACTCTTATAAAAAGCTTTTTTATAGTTATACTACACTTAAATATTACTTTAAGCTTTAGATAACACTTTCTAAACATACTAAGCTAGTTTATGCTAACATAGCCTAGATTATGCTTAGCGTGTAAAGAATTAGCTATATTAGCTATAAATATTATTTAAAAGAAAAATCCTTACGCATATAGCTTAAGTATAGTTTTAATAATTACCTACTTTTTAGTATTACCTAGCTTTTATAAGTTAGCTATAGAATTAGCTTATAAAAGTTATCTAGTGCTAAAGTTATTTATTATCTTTTAAAAGACTTTGTATATAGCTATAGCATGTTTTTTTAAAAGTTTTATATTTTATTTAGAAGCTTAAAGTATAAGCTAAATCTAACATTCTTTTAGCATATCTAAGTAGTGTTATTAGGAATGCATTAGTGTAGAAAAAGTAGTTTAGTAAGGTCTGTAACGGCGCAGGCAAGACAATGGGTCCGAATGCGGTATGAATCCACTCAGAGGCATATGGGAGTACGTGGGGACTCAGAGACCTGGGAATACCAATGACACCTATAGGCCTTGTACGTAGGATATCAGAAAACTACCGAGCTAGCTACAGGGGCAAGGTGCGACTAAATACATGAGGGAATAGGGGTAACAGCAGGGGTCGGGGCTAGGTCGAGGTCGGGGCCGATACGAGGGCCTTCCGGAGGTTCCGGGCGACTCGAGATGGAACGATTCATGAGGATCGTTACAGAAAAAGTAGTTTAGTAAGGTCTTAGTAAAAGTAAGTAACTTAGATGTGTAAGCAACTTGCCTGTAAAGTACGTTATTAATTAACTATAACACTAAAAGCTAAGCCTAAACATAGGCTTTTTATAGAAATAAAAATCTTTTAATCTAGGTAGTAATTAGCTAAGCAACCTCTTTTCTAAATAGGTTAACTATACCCCTGCAAAGCTTAGATTGTTAAGTGGCTAATGGCTTTTAGTTGTCGACTGTACATCGATCGGTCATCTAACTAGCCTTCTGCCTACAATGCAGGTCTGTTCTAATTTTACGTTTTCTTACAGAACGCTTTAAAAAAGATAGTAGTGTATCTTCTTAGTCTAAGACTAAAGCTAAAATTAGACAACCTTGCTAGTTGAAAGAACCTAGTCCTGTTGCTTTATAGTCGGAACTATAGTATTTCCCTACCCTCTACTTGCAAATGAAATAGTTCTCCTGCAAGGCATCATGCAGCCGGGCAAAGACTCCATTGTGCCACGCCCTGAAATCCTGCCACTCCTCCTCAGGCATGGTGGAGAAGAGCATGTTCAGCCACCCGCCTACGATCAGGTCGGCGTAAGTAGCTTGTTTACCCTCAAGGTACGGACCGGATTCGTTGACCGTAAACAGCCGGGCCAATGACGTCAACGCCACCTTGAACGCCGCCTTGAGCTGCTCTCTTGCCTCGCCCTGAACGGAGATATCATCCCAGGAGGTCAGATGTGCGCGCTTGACGAAGAGGGCCCTTGCAGCCTCAGCCGTGTTGGGGTTGAAGGGGAGGTACTGGGCGACAAGCACCACATAGGCGGAGAAAGTGGCGTCGACGTGCATGTTGAACCTTGCGTAGGCTTCATTTTTGGACCCCTGGTTGGAAGTCAGGGGCGCGAAGAATGCCGTGTCCTTGTTCGGGCTCTCGTAATTGAGTGTGGTGTTGGTAGAGCCCAGAGGGAAAAGGCAGCCGCCTAAGTCCGGGAACATGTCCTCGAGATAGTTGGCGATGTCGAACGAGTCGCCAACAACCCTGCCCGAGACCGAGTCCCGCAGCATGGGAAGCGTGTAGTAGTCTGAGCCATCGTCAAACTTACGGGTGGCCGGGCAATTGAGCTCCTTGCGAACGCCAGAGATGTCAAGGATGTCAACCCAGGTCGTCTTAAAGGGTACACATTTGAAGCTGAGCGCGAGACGGGCCTTGGAGGGATTTGGCGCATAGGAGCGGGGTGCTATGGGTGAAGAGATATCATAGAGGATGAGGGGGTTGGAGTCTGTCATTTTAGAGGTTGCGGCAGCGGCCATTTCGGTGTGGTCTTGGAGTGGGCGAGACAAAGAATTTTTTGGTTTTTTTATTGGCCGCAAGTGCGGCACCAGCCTTCTGCGCACATTCGGCACCAGTCGACATAAGCATTATAGCTATGTCTGCGACTTTCTTGTCCACCACCTAAACTTTTCTTGCGTTTCATCTTTTTATTCTTTTTTTATTTAGACCTGGCGATCTTTATTTTTACAGAAAGAACAATGCTTGTTACATAAATGTACTATCCATTTCGCGTAACGTGTTTCATAAGCGAGCGGACCACCCAAGTGAGCAGACTAGCAAAGCCTACTAAAACGCCTGCGCAGTGACATGGTGCAACACTACAATATTGTTTTGTACTATTTATAATAGTATACTATTCTTTAAATATATAACTACTATCGAAATAATCTATTTTTATTATGTAAGCAATGTATTTTACAAGCAAGTAGTTTATATATGTAAGTAGTCTACGCTAACTAAATCTTAGCACATTATACTTTAATTAATAATGTATCTACTAATTAACTTTTAATATACTAATAAAAAAAGTAAAATACTTTTAGCTTTTTAAGCATCTTAAAAAAGCTAAATTTCAAGTATTTAAAACTACCTTACTTTAAAATATAATAGTAGACTTTTATAACAAACCTATATAATGTATTTTATAAGTAAGCAGTCTACAGAGGTAAACAGTCTATTCTAATAACATTTTTATACTTGAATTACATTTTACTCTACAACGCCTATATTAATTAATTTAATATTAAAAAACAATTTATAATATCTACTTTATACATAGTACAAGTTTTAACTTAGTAACTTTACTAGTAGTAGTAGCTACAGCATTATTAGTTTTATAGTATAGTAGCTAATTCTACGCTATTCTAGCTTATTTTATTTATATTTTACTTATTTTTTACTAGTTAACTTAAATCTACTTTATTTATAAATATAAACGTTTTTTATTTTAAATCTAATGTTTTATTACGCTTTAACGTACACTACAGGCGAGTTGCTTACACACCTAAGTTACTTACTTTTACTAAGACTCTACTAAACTACTCTTTCTATACTAATACATTTCTAAAAACTGTTACAATCTCTGCTTCAAGGCATAGTTACCTAAAGTACGCTAGGCTAGGGAAGAAAATAGAGGAGTCCGGATGAGGAGAGACTAAGCTATCGACGGATGTACGGTCCGCGTAGCTTTCGTTCTAGGGTAGGAGTAGGCTAACTGTAGTTTGCCCTTTAACAGCAGTATAAAGTGCTTAGGTTAAACAGTTCTTAGTAGAACAAAATAAAGGTATATATAGTGTAAAATATATAACGTACTTCACAGGCAAGTTGCTTACACACCTAAGTTGCTTACTTTTGCTAAGACCCTACTAAACTACTCTTCCTACACTAATACATTCCCTACAACACTACTTAGACACGCTAAAAGAATGTTAGATACAGCTTACACTCTAAGCTTTTAAATAAAACATAAAACTCTTAAAAAAATGTACTATAGCTATATATAAAGTTTTATAAAAAATAATAAATAACTATAGCGCTAGATAACCTTTACAAGCTAATTCTACAGCTAAATTATAGAAGCTAGGTAATAAAAAGAAGTAGGTAATTATTAAAACTATACTTAAGCTATATGCGCAAGGAATTTCCTCTTAAATAGCATTTATAGCTAATATAGCTAATTCTTTGCGCGCTAAGTATAATCTAGGCTATGTTTACATAAACTAGCCTAGTATATTTATAAAGTGTTATTTAGAGCTTAAAGTAACATTTAAGCGTAAGTATAACTATAAGAGAGCTTTTTATAAGAGTTCTAGAGTAATTTAGAGCAGGTTTAGCCTTATAGAGAATATTAAAGCTAAGTATAGCATCTAGAATAATAACATGTACAACTTTAGCAAAACAGAGTTTATAATTAGCTAAATATCTCTTAACTATACTTGCGCTTAAAACTTTACTTTAAGCTTTAAATAATGCTTTATAAATGTACTAGGCTAGTTTATGTAAACATAGCCTAGATTACGCTTAGCGCACAAAGAATTAGCTATATTAGCTATAAATGCTATTTAAGGGGAAATTTCTTACGCATATAGCTTAAGTATAGTCTTAATAATTACCTACTTTTTTTTATTACCTAGCCTTTATAATTTAGCTATAGAATTAGCTTATAAAGGTTGTTTAGTGCTATAGTTATTTATTATTTTTTATAAGACTTTACACATAGCTATAGCACATTTTTTTAAGAGTTTTATGTCTTATTTAAAAGCTTAGAGTGTAAGCTATATCTAACATTCTTTTAGCGCGTCTAAGTAGTGTTGTAGGGAATGCATTAGTGTAGAAAGGGTGGTTTAGTAGGGTCTTAGTAAAAGTAAGTGACTTAGGTGTGTAAGCAACTTGCCTGTAAAGTACATTAATTAGTATTACTCTTATTATAAAGTAGTAATGCTACTTAGTCTATATAGTAATAAACTAAGATAAACTAAGCTTTAATTATAACCTTTTTAATAATAGTTAAGGTTTAAACTATATACATAAAGTTCTTAGTAGTTAAGTGTTGTTAAGCGCAATGCGCGTTTACCTATCCTACAGCGCGTATTAGCGCTTGTTGCGCTTAAACGTCCTTTTTTATTAGACACTACACTTAGCTGTGCACTAGTCTAATAAGTCTATCTATTTGTTGTCTGTTAAGTTATATAACTTAGTAGGTAAAGTAATAAGAGAACTCTAGCCTTATTTATTTAAAACAGTAGAGCACTTATAGTTAGTAGCTTATAGTCTAATTATAAATTATAACATGTAGGCTCTTTTTTTTATTAGCGTTCTTACTGTTTTACTTACACTTTTATAAGTATTAAAGTTTTCTTTTATCTAGTGTGTGCCCTTCTATAAATGCTTTATAGATATCTATTTTTATTAACCATGCTTTATTAGCTCTTTTATTAGTCTATCTATGTTTATTATTTACACGCTATAGCTTATCTTAATCCTCTTTACTATATAAAAATGCAACTATGTAGTCTTTGCTATTCTACTAAGTTCTTTTATGTTTGAAATTTGTTATTAGACAAGTGTGTAGAGTGTGTTTAAAAGAGAAGTTATTATAACACCTTTATTTCTAACACAGCTTAAGATTATTTAAAGAAGAAATAAAAGTAGCTTCTTTTAGAAATAAAAGATGCTTGCGCTTAATAAAAGCAAAAAAAAAGTTTAGTAAAGGCTTATAGTTCTTTTTCTTTTTAACTTATTTTACGGGGTTAGCGGCCCTTTATATTATAGCTATCTAATGCAGCAGCAGTTTCTTCTGCTAATAATAGTGTTTTCTAGTCTAGAGAACTTTCTCTAGGCTAGTTCTAGCTAGAAGAGACGCTTAATAATCTTAGAAAAGTTAAGAAGTGTTTATTAAGTTCTTAATTAGTTTCTACATGTTTTTACTAGTAAGCTATTCTTTTTACTTTACTAAAAACTTTTTTCTTTTTTAGGTGTTAGCTATTTATTTAACTTTATATTTTACTTTAATATCTCTTTATTTTATTAAGAAAAGGGGTATCTTTTTAAGCGCTTTTTTAAGCTTTAAAATATAAAACTAAGAGTGTATACGCATTTCTTTTAGTAGCTTAAGTTTATAATTATCCTTTTATGCCTATAGTACCTTGTATAGGCTAATATGTTTCGCTATAAGTTTTTAAGATAGTCTAAAAGTATAGAGGTTTTAAGTTTTAAAGTATATATAATTTCTAAGTTGAATTATAAAGGCTCTTTTTTAAGTTTTATTTATATTCTGTTTTATTTTCTCTTAACTAGCCTTAGCTTTAATTGCTAATTTTTAATGCAGTTTTAATAGTTAAGATAGATAGTTAGCAGTTTCTAGTAAGTTCATAGGTTACATGCCGTAAAGCGTAAAGCAGGGATAATAGCTAAAGTTAGTCTTATATAGTGTTTCTGTCGGTTGACCTAGGTTCGATCGAACGAACGTACGCCCAAGGGGCGTACCAAGAGGTGAGCAGGCAAAGATCTTCTTGTTATTGACTACTGCCCTCTCTCTTCGTACGAAGAAAGAGGGCTCTTAAGTACACATAGCCCCTAACGCACAGGCCAGATAGCCAACGTTTCAGGCAACCTAATTCAGCCGTACACGTGTACGGACACAGCTTACGTACGGACAGTTTCCTTTGTTATAGTAGATTCTACTATGTTAATAGCTAGCTAAGCTATAAAAAGCTATTCTACCTAATTTATCTAGTTATAAAATATATAGTTCTTTAGATATTTTTCTATCTTAGTATTTAGCCTCTCTGTTTAACTATTTATAGGTAATACACTATAGATAACCTATGTTGTATTCCTAAGTGTCTTATTATAGCTTTCTAGAATTTACTTATAAATAGCTTTTCTCTATTAGAGATAATAACCTATAAGCATTTATAAACTAAAAATATGTTTTATTTTAGCTTATACATAAATTCTTTAGCTGTAATGCTTTTTTTAGTAAGCTATGTATGTAAAAACTTTATTATCTTGTCTAAAGTAACTGCTATTCTATTACAGAGTCTCTCTGTTCCTAGTTTGCATAATAGAGGTAGTTTAGTAATAAAGTTTATTATTATTATAGTCTAAGGTTGTTCTAGGGCTTTAATTAACTATAGGTAACTATATGTTTTATGTCTTCTAGAGTTATTTTTATTATAGATGTTACATTCCTAGAGAATTTCTATGCATAGTTATTTTAACTAAGGCATGTTTTAGGAAATTATAGCTTTAATTTTTTTTCTAAAGTATTCTAATTCTAGAGTGTCTAAACATAGAGGCTTTATAGTATTCTCTAATAAGGTTTTTCTATCCTTATTCTACTATTATAAGGGTTGCAATTAACTCTTCTAGGACTAGCCTATTATAGACTAGTCCTTTATCTGTTTTTTTAAATAATGTAAATTTCTTAGTATCTTCTTTATTTTCTTTAAAATAGTCTAAGCGTTAGCTTAAAGCATTTACTTACTAATTATTTATTT